ACCCCCGATACTTCGTAAGTTGACAACCACTAATCTATCTATCTGAATACTCCTGTCTACTCCTAACTACCTCCTCTGTTCCTCTTCTCGTCTCTTCCTCTCTTCCTCCAGTTTCCTTTGCTCCTCCAGCTCCCGCCTCCGCCTCTCCTCTTCTTCTTTTCTCTTCCTCTCTTCCTCCTCTCGTCTCTTCCTCTCCTCTTCCAGCATTTGCCAATAGAGGAGCCTGGCCTTCCTCCCGCGCCAGTGCTTCTGGAACTGCAGAGCCGAGTGTTGGAGGCGCACAAAGGCAGCCCTCCAGTAGTGAGCCCGGTAGTTCTTCTGAATGATGATAATACTGAGACGGACGGTTTTATAATGCTTCCTGGGAAATAGAAGAACAAATGTAGGGTGTATTACACATAAAATATTGTATAAAGCTGAACCACCAGGCAGATATAAACATAATGCAGCTTTGTATTTGTTTAGAAATAAATGCATTTATATATAGTTAGCACCCAAATCTGCCTTGATATCAGCCTCTCTGTAGAGCAGCACTCGGTGTGGGAGGAGCAGCACAAGGAGCCAATCAGGCTCTGCTGCAGGGCACATGTGCTGACAGAAAATATACCGACAGGAGGAGAGAACAGAGTAAGCTCAGCTAATGACTTATCCATGTGTTGCGGCTCCTTCGTTGTCCAGCTGGGGAGCCAACGACCACTGTATTTCTTAAAGTTACCCTTCAGACAAACAATACGCAGATGAAATACATAAACGGGAGCTTTTTTTTTTTTACCTACCAAAGGATTTGTATTTCTATCCAGTTCAGAGATTTACACTGCTCTTCCATAGAGCACAGCCCTGTCTGGAAGGAACCTGAACTATCTGTGCAGTTTCACTTCTACATACACGTCTCCTCCGTACCCCCACCCCGTGACTGGACAGTGAAAGGAAAAACAGCTGACTGATAGGAGTAAGGAGAGTGACAGAGATGAGCCTATCTTGCATGACAATACGACTGATGCGACTGAAGGGCTCCTTGAAATGCTTCCCCTGCCCCAGTCCGAGGTCTGCTTTAAATGGACTGCAAGAGACTGAACCCAAATCAAATTCAGCTATTTGCACATAAATTTACCATTTAAAAAATACCCTTTTACATGCAAGCAGCGTCAGCACATGCATGTGACCTTGCACAGCAGAGCTCAGACTGGCAGAGAAAGAAGCAGCACAAAGAGCCAAATCAGTTGTTTTGGCAGTGCAAGGGACATGTTGATAGGAGGAAAAAAGCAGGGTGATGGAGAAAGAATTCTTTACTCTGCTGCTTCTCCTTTCACTGGTGAAATCAGGTCTCCTGCCCTGCTATATAGAGCTGTGCAGTGTTTTAGTGCTGTGTAAATCTCAGAACAGGATGGGCAGAGATACAAGTTCAGCTATGAATTGATTTAATCTCAGCTGTCCTTTAAATAGGACTGATGCAAACTAGTGAAGCAGAAAACCTGAATCAACGTGAAAATCTCACCAATCATACTATCAGTTGAAGGTTATAATAAGGATTCATATGGATGCTTTGCTGGGAATACACTACGGCTTTCCTTTAAACACAAACATTACCACCTAGCCCTACATCCTGTCCACTGAGCCCAAATAGCATCAAGGGCTAAAAATAGCAAAACCTCATTTATCACAGTCTATTTCCAATCGCCGTACAACCTCTGACAATGTCCTTCCACCGCTTCCTAAAGAATGTCCCGCTTTTTGTTTTTTAACTCCATAAACAGTGGACACTCTATACTGAATTCTCGAAGATCTGTCAATCAACCAAAACATCTCATGACCACCATCTGTAAGGCATATGCTAGGATCAGGGTTGTGTCTACAGAGCAGAACTTTATTCAAAAACTTGGATATAACTACGGGGGGTATAAAGGCAAAGCCTTCAAAAGCCATAGAGTTCCAATGAACACATTGCCCTTTTCTACTTTTGGTCTAGTTTTCCTGACTCAACCGAAATCCCGGCAGAGTGTGGCCCCTTTGGCACCCCTCTGTTCGACAAAAGTTGACTTTTCAAAATCGACTTTTGTCCGAGAAGCTGATCCAAGAAGCTGATCCAGAAAATATCAGCTATGACTGCAGCCAAACAACTGCAAGGTGGGGAGGCATCAATGGTGTTCAGACTGCAGGTAGAATGGCAAAAAATGATCAGTGAATGGCCAGTTCTAGTGGATAAGCCTCAGAGATAAACCTTAGGCAATCCACTAAACACCTAATCGAAAAACACATATACTTGCCGAAGGATTGCATATCTGCCCATCTTGCCCTGACACAGCACAGCCAGTCTGATGACCTGACTTTTCTCGAATGCAGTGAAACAACAAAAGCCTGGTCACCTTGAAGGAGCAGCAACAGACAGATGATGTCCTTACTCTGCTCTCTCCTCCTAACACTGCATCTCTTTTGTCCGGACATGTGCATGCAGGACATCTGGTTGGCCGTTAGGTGCTGCCCTCCGAGTGCTGCTGTTCAGCAAATTGCAGGAGACTGATACACGGTCAAATTCAGTAATTTTCATTAGATATATCTAAATGGACCCCTGATTCCATGCTCGAATTCATTTTCATCATATAAAACAATATCAATGGAAATTTCTAGGCAGATGTGACCACGGGAAGAGGTGACCCTTACCTGGCGATGTACCCCTGGATGTAAGCCCGGATTACTAAGGCTGCCCTCTTCAGTTCTTGCTCCCGACTCTTCTCCAGCCGCTGCTCCAGCACCTCTTTGAGGAATACCTGTGGGAAAGGAGAGACACCCCCTCAAGTAGGTGATAGGAGCCATAAGACACACGGGTGAAGTCTGCCCCAAACCAAACCAAGTGCCTGTCCAGTGCCAAGTGCATGCAGCCTCCAGCATCAGTCCCGCAGCCAGAACCTCCCAGAGGAGAAGAGGGGGCTGGATGGAGGAGGGGAAGGGGAAAGATCTACAGATAGGAAGGAGAGAATCTGGACAGCTGTATAGGCAGGACATGAGAGAATACACAGATATACAATGTATTGTATACACAGGGACGGAGGATACGGAAATATGAAAGGCCGGTGACTGTACTATATACAGGGCAGGACAAGGCAGGTAACTGTACTATATACACAGGGAGGCAGGCAATAAAATACAGTGCAGGACAAGTCAGATGACTGTACTAGAGACACCAGAAGGAAGGCAATGGAATATACAGTGCAGCAGAGTGCACAGGGCAGAGAGGCAGGCAGCAGAGTGCACAGGGCAGAGAGGCAGTGGAGAGCACACAGGGCAGAGAGGCAGTGGAGAGCACACAGGGCAGAGAGGCAGTGGAGAGCACAGGGCAGAGAGGCAGTGGAGAGCACAGGGCAGAGAGGCAGTGGAGAGCGCAAGGCAGGCAGTGGAGAGCACAAGGCAGGCAGTGGAGAGCACAAGGCCGGCAGTGGAGAGCACAAGGCCGGCAGTGAAGAGCACAGGGCAGAGAAGCAGGTCACTAAAGTGTGTTTTTGGAATGTATAGACAGTGAAATACAAAGGACAGACAGAGAGACACAGGAATACACAGAGGACAGAAGCAGGCCTCTGCTCTGGGTATAACAGAGAGCCCATGGAATATACAGGACAGCTGGGCAGGTCACTGTACTGTACATGTAAAACACTCAGGAAGGAAGGGACACAGGGGAAGGAAGGAAGGGACATGGGACAGAAGAATGTACACACAGGATAGAAAAGACACCAGGATTGGTAAGTGGGACATTCACATAGAAGAGCCCGGCTGGGAGATGAGAGGAAATGGACACATACAGTGCACTGTGTAACAACGGCTAGATTAGAACACAGACAAGAAGAAAAGTACAATATTTGAAGTCTCTGTACAGAAGGAAGCAGACAGTAGCATACAAGTAAATTGCTTGCAGATAATAAACCCCATAAGTACGCAACCTGTTTAAAGCCAGGAGAAGATGCCACCGCTCCGCCGCACACTCCCTCATTACCCGTCAAGAAGCTTTTCTCTCTCTATACTGTACAAGTGATTGCAGCTGTTTTATTTAGTTAAAACATTATGACAAAGAAGCCCCCCTCCTTTGCATTGCCGGCTTCCTTCCAGAAGCTGTTCCTTCCGTTCACAAACAATCGACGGGAGAGAGAGCACATGGAGCAGAGTCACTGAGCTGGCTGGAAGAGAAGGCAGACATGTACACTGCACGCCATGGTCACATCCCTGGCAGGGGGCTGTTGCTGAGCAATCTAAAATGCAAATTGCACTAAAGGAAATAACTGGAGCATGGCAAGTCTACAGGGCCTATTTATTATGCAGAGATGGAATATACTGGAACCCATGGCAATGGATCAGAATTTTGCTTTCATCAATTTAGTATGGTTAGCTTGGTGAAAGGTGGCCTGTGACTGCCTGGTAAGGGTTACTGCACACCACTGCTCTTTACACCTACTCTTCTACAAGTTATTCAGGGTAAGGTATAGAGAACTGGTGGCGACAGAGAGCAGAAAGACAGAAAGCTGGTGGCGACAGAGAGCAGAAAGGCAGAGAGCTGGTGGCGATAGAGAGCAGAAAGAGAGCTGGTCGCAAGAGAGCAGAAAGAGAGAGCTGGTCGCAATAGAGAGCAGAAAGAGAGAGCTGGTCACAATAGAGAGCAAAAAGAGCCAGGATAGAGAACACAAAGAGAAAGCTGACAGTGATAGCAAGCAAGAAGAGTGAGATAGGCATGACATAGAGCAGGAAGAGGGCGCTGATCATGGAAGAGAGAGAGCTGGTCATAGAGCGCAGGAAGAGAGAACTGGCTGGAAGCAGTGGAGGTAGAGAGGATAACAGAGCACCATGATAAAGGACATATATAGTACATACATTGACACACACAGAGTGTATATTATTAAAACATGATAAAATGACTGGACTGAAAGTACAGAACAGGCTGGACTCTTTGGCAGCCCATAGACCTAGACCTGATATGTGGGTGTGAGTTACATATCATCATAATTGTGTTTTTGGTAAAACCTAGTGCAAAGAGCCAAGACTTGCAACCACCAATCAAATTTTAATTTACTGGAGAAAATAAAAGCATATGATTGGTTAATATTGTCATGCTCCATTTCTTCAAAGCTTCTTGCTGCAGTGTTTATACATCGGCTCTTCAGCTCTATCAAGGATAAACTCCGCACAATCAGGGTTAAGATCCAAATTAACTGCAATAACACTCCTCCTCTGTTAATAAAACCTGCGCTTCAATCGAGGCACAAAAATGAGCACAGCAGAGACACTAGGAGCTGCCTGCAACCACGAGCGGAACAAAGAGGCCTTGTTCCGTGTGGCAAGCCGGAGGCAACAGGCTTCTTGATGGCCTCCACAATAGCCTTGTGTGCCTGGTCAGCACTGGCAGCCATCCACCGGCTTCCGACTTGCGCCACCCAAAGAGGGCAAGCTCCATGCGACTCCTCTCTGCTCCCCTCTGTCACACATCTCCAGTGTGATGTCACCCTGCCTGTGCCCCAAACAATCCCCTCCTTCTGTCCATCGCCCACCACCCCACGCCACAGGGAGGAGTATCACGCCAAAACATATCAGTCACGCTGGTTTCCAACATACAACAAAAACGATAGTCTCCGAGAAGGAACAATAGCCATTTCATAACGCTTAGAATATTTAATAGGACGCTTCATTAGAAAAGAATCCACCAAAAAATACTGATCATTCTATTTCCAAAGGAATTGAGCGGCTTACTTTGATAATAAACAGTTTCACTGACTATCATTGTTCCCGTCATTGGTCATGATGAATAATTCAGAAATGCAACTATCTGCAATCATGGATTCATAAAATTAATAAAGGTTCCTAATAATAAATAGTTTCCCATACAATACATGCGTAGCTCTATCGTACTCTACTGCACTTTACAGTGTCCACTTATAGCTAAAGTTTAATCTGCTGTAATATAGGTTGCCTCCCTTGTTTCTCCTTTCTACATCATCAACATGCTAATTAATAAGCTTAAATAAAACCTATTTTAAATCACATGCCTTATTTTAGACCGATGATGTCATCACTGGGTCTCTATGCTTCTTTATACAATGCAGGCAGATCATGGCTGGTGGGAGAGGCCGGCAGGGTGCTGTAAATGGCTTTTGAAAACACCCCAGCACCCTGCCTTCGTACTCTTCCTATGAGCCCTCACCTCTGATGCTAGCATTGGACTGGCTCTTGGGAGAAGTTATGCCAATATTGAAATGTCTTGATGAATGTCAATCTGGAGGACTGACCATTCCCAAGAAGACTGCATTTGAAAGCAGACTTCGCTAGGTAAGGCCCACATATGAAACTGAGCACAAATTCCTGGTTGGCGCCGGCAATGAGTCACTGCCCTTTCTAACACACATGTAGCCAAGTCACAACTCCATGCCAGTACTTTTTCTTCTGGTGAGAGAGTTCTTACGTTATATTGCCAAGAGTTTGTGGACACCTGACCATTACATATGCCTACATGGCTAGAAGTATGTGGACCCCATCCCAGGGAGGGGCTTTAATAATACAACATGCAAAGCATTGCAATGCAAGCTTGTGCCAACAGTTTAGGTGAAGACCCTTTTCTGTTCCAGCATGACTGTGACCCTGTGCACAAAGCCAGTTCCATAAAAGCATTGCGTGGAGGAGCCAGTACCAGCATCAGGTAGAAGGAAGACGCCCCACACACATGGAAAATGTGTAACTATACAGAACAGTTTCTTAAATCCGTTCCCTTACCTTGGTCTTGCCAAGTTGCCACTCCTTCTTGGAGGCATCAAAAGTCTGCAGGAAAACAGCACACTTTGCCTTCACATCTTCTGTACCTTTGATGTTACACAGCAGCATCTTATACCTGTAACAAGATGATCGGTAAACAGGGGCAGTGTACATATAAAAATACAACCAACACAATTCAATCTGACATTTTTATAGTAAATTACATCCACAGATTCCTTTCTACCCAGGAACAAAAATGTAATATTTTGCAGCTTACATTCCTTAGATATGGCGGCAGCATTAGTTTTCTTTTGTTCAGGCTATTTTTCCTTTATTTCCACCTGGTGATCCTGCCAGCAACAGACTTCTGATCCTAAAGTGACACCTCTCACTGTACTGCATCTATGGAGAAGCAGTGTTGTCAGCCTACGACAGGAAGTGTTTTAGGACAATGTAACGCCTCCCCTTCCTCATCCCCATAACATGCTGGAGGTGTTCTGTAATCCATAGAAATTAACTGGGCATCCGACTTTAGTGCAGCAGGGGAATGCTGGAAGCTCACTGGATTGATGGCAGGACCAACAGGTTTTTATATTAAAGTTACAACAGCAGCAGAGTTTAACAAGTTTGAATGGTATATGTAACAAATCAAAAAGGGAGCAAATACAAAAAGTTCAATGTTAGGGTTAACATGCATTTTAATGCACATAAAAAAGTGCATAATAATGTGAATAGGCCATTAATATGGCTGAATCTAAACACATTGAAAGGTAAAGGTGATACATGCTGCCCACAACAGTACGTTTCCACTGGTGACATCACCTGGCCATGAAGTCCTGGTACTGTCTGCGCACAGGGTACCCGGCCCTCCGGATCTTCACAGTCTCCAACATTCCAGAGTACCTCAGTTGGTTCAGGACAATGTCTGGACTGAATTTGCTTGGCAGCTGATAGGAGACAAGAAGAGTCAACACTGAGCCAAATGAATCTACAACTGCAAATAAACCAGAGGCACTATAGCATAGGAATAGTATTCACAAACCTCCCAACTTCCCGAGATGAGAAAGAGGGACACCTTTCAGTACAAAGCATGGAGGTGAAGAACACACCCTGCTACACCCTCATTATGTGGACCATGGGCGCAGAATTTAGCTATATTTAATGCCAGATGTTCTTTATAGTTTGCCCAGCAGTACCTCACTAGCAGGGAACTACCATTTGGAGGGTGGCCTGGTGTAGAAGAGAGGCAGTAAAATGGTATGTGGAACACTCTCTGCATTCTAGCACCCAACATTGAAAGAAACCTCTAGTGATCTCTGCCCAACAATAGAAGTATAGTCCTCATTACAACCCAAACCTACACCTGACCACCAATGCTGGGGGTGTCTTACTACAGCCCAAAACTACACCTGACCACCAATGCTGGGGGTGTCTTACTACAGCCCAAAACTACACCTGACCACCAATGCTGGGGGTGTCTTACTACAGCCCAAAACTACACCTGACCACCAATGCTGGGGGTTTCCTTCTACAGCCCAAACCTACAACTGACCACCAATGCTGGGGGTGTCTTACTACAGCCCAAACTTACAACTGACCACCAATGCTGGGGGTGTCCTACTACAGCCCAAACCTACACCTGATCACCAATGTTGGGGGGTGTCTTACTATAGTCAAAACCTACAACTGACCACCAATGCTGGGGGTGTCTTATAACAGCCCAAGCCTGTCAATGAGCACCAATGCTGGAGGAGTTTCCTATTATTACCCAAGCCTTCAACTGACCACCAATGAAGGGGGGCATTATTGTGGCCACCAACACTAATGCAGGGGGTTACCATTAATACCACTGGCACCAAGCCTGGGACTTATTTTACTTGCACACTACAAGCCATGCACTGTAAAGCAAAACCCACTTTATTTGCCATGCTCCCAAGTGTTCGGCGAGCAGTGCACTATGCATGCCGCATTTCTCTTGTTGATCTTTTCAAGGTGCCCTCCTAATAACTTTGTCATGTTGGCAACTACTCGGGAGATTTTCTGAGCTCATGCATGTCAGGCAGACTGATCTTCTAAGTTTACCATTTCTGCATAAAGTTGCAACCACCCTCCACTAGCCAGTTCGGCTCCCATCCCCAGCGTGCACGACGTTTAATGTCATGATTATTACTGAAAATAATTTTGCTGTATGTGGGTGTGCTTGGGTGCCAAAAAAAATAATAATTAAAAAAAAAAAATTGGAGTTGAAAAATGCTGGGGCTCTGGCTGTAAAAGCAATCATTGTGAATTTATCTTTAGGCTTTGAGCGGTCTACCCACCAAAACCCATCGCTACCCATATTTTCAAATAGGATAAATCAGATGTATGGAGGAGCCGAGGCTTCAGGACTTTACAGGACCGTCCTTACCTTCTCTGTGTTGGGTTTAATGCAGCGGATGAAGAAAGGGTTTGAAGTACTGAGCATCGCCATGAGGGAATGGAGGGATTCCTAAATACACAGAAGAGACAGATGAAAGTCTTGATGTCAATATAATCTCCAATACAACTAAAATACAACAGCTGCAGAAGCCGCAGGTTAAGTTTTTATATCTTCAGAACACAGGTCTAGTCCTATAACTGGGCAAACCAAGGATGCCAATGGTTAAAATGAACACTTCACATGACTTGTCAATATTATTAAAGCATTATTTTGTGTAAATATAAAGTATCTCTTACTTCCCATGAATACAAAATAACTGCTCCGGGGCTCATGCGAGTTAAAGCCTAAGCAAAGACCCCATGGGCTCTGGCCATAAGGAGCACTGGGGGGTTCCATGGTTTTGGAGACAGAGTTTATGGTTTCTAACTAATCTACTTGGTAGTGCAAAAAAAGTGTAAAAAGCAAATATGGCTGTGCTCATGTATATAGAACAACATACTGGAAAAACAATTAACACATTTACAATTGTTTACATTAAAGCGACTGTTGCTGCAAAAAAAACAATCAAAAAGTTCCCGTAAACGGAGATACTTTGTATTTGCCCATCTTGGTGACCACTCGCAGAATCTTAGCTCCACAGTTGAGCAAATCCACCCAAAGGATTTTCAAAGCCAAGAATTCCGGGTTTTCCGGCTTCTCCCATCGTGCTTTGTGGTTGCTTCTGTCGGTACTTGTGCCCCGTAGTGACAGAACAGCTGGCAGTAACAACCATAGAGTGTGGTGGGGGACTCGGGCATCTGATGCAACCAACAGAATCAATGCTGAAGTGAATTTAGAACCCCCAGAACTGTAAAGTCAATTGAAAAAAGTGAGACAGAGAATTATCATTACTTACCCTGAACTGAGAACTGACTGTGGGTTTCTTCTTCAGCGTCCCCATCTTTAGAGTCTCCCCTCCAGATCTGCTGGAGACCTTCTCAAACAGATCATAGATAAAGTCCAATCTGAGCAAGATAAATAAAATAGATTAGGGCTGTGGAAATTAAAGATTAATTTCTCGATTAATCGTTAAACTTTTTGATCGATTAAAATTATTTTGATCGCTAATGAAAACACTCACCTCTCCACCGGGAGTACCGTCGGCGATCCGGTGACGTCACGGACATCGACGTCACTGGGGGGAGTCAGGTGACGTCGATGTTCGTGACGTCACCGGACTCCTCCCCCCTTCGTTAGCCAACGGAGCCACTTGGGCCGGTGAGTTGCCCAAGAAACTTTCTGCACGAGCATGAACTAGGATCACACTAATCCAGCACGTTATTATTCTGAGTTGCCCCACTCAAGCGGCGGCCATATTGAGTGGGGCACGTGAGATTAATAACGTGCTGGATTAGTGTGATCCTAGTTAATTTTATTACTTCATTGCTGTGCTGTATGTGTATAGGCCAATGTAGTTGGATCTGTATGTGCGTTATAATTAATCAAAATGTAATCGATTAAAAAAAAATTGATTAATCGAACAGGAAAATTTTAATCATTACCAGCCCTAAAATAGATGTATTACATGTGACTTCCTGGCATACACACGTGCCATGTGTAAATACATTTCCCCATGTACAGTACCTACCTGCTGTCTCTAAGCATGTTCAAGATATCATCCCGGAAAGTGTCCCTGTTCTTCTCCAGGAAACCCTTCACAACATACATGACCTGGAGAGGTAGGACAGATCTCATTATATGACCAGCTTAATTTTCTTATTTCACAGCCCTTCACCAGAAATGTTGGACCTCACCACATCCTCTGCCCCAGTCAAGCTTACAGTCTAAAGCTGACCACACACATTGCACCAAAGTAACACATTTAAGAGGCACTTGAGTTTCTGTGCTCACAGACGCAGGAAAACTTGCACACGATTTGCTGCTGCTGCTGATTACAACTCCAGCCCTAATGGAGGACTCTTCATCAAATCATATAGAGATCCTTTTGATTGTAGTATCTTTTGAGTCCAATCAAACCATCTTTCCATCCTAAGCCCTGAAGGTAGAATGCTGTTGCCCCAGAAACAGGTTTGCTGTTTTTCGTTTGACTTATTGGTCAGAAATAAAGGAAGCCAAACCAAAACGGTGCCTTTACTTGTTCACAATTCAATCAAAACTATTTTTAATGACACATGTAAGAGAAATGAGCTTGATGCATGCAATGGTATCAATGTGTGTTATCCAGGCAGCTATATCTGCTTATCACAAAAGTCACAATGGTTGTGCTTTACTGCTCCATTTCGCAATACATTTAAGTGTTTTGTTATATCTGTGCAAAAAGTTCCAGTCGATCCTGCTGGAAAGCTTGTTAGCCGATAACTTCCTGTGAGCGCTGCCTGTGCTGCACTCTTATCAACTAAATTGTTCCCAGCTATCTCTGAGGACTACAGAATGGGTTATGTAGTCCTGTCCTAGGATGACAAAGCTGCTTCTCCAGAGATACAGTACAGTGAGTGAGTGTTGTCACTCTCGGACAGGAAGTGTTACTAGCAGGTTTACCAGGTGAAAAAAAAAAACAAGTGCAGCCATCACATCTAAGGATCAGTAAGCGGTAATATACATTCATTTTTTTTTATCTTGAGTCCAGATATGCTTTACATGCGAAAAAGTTTGGGGCATTTCATTCAAATAAAAGCATTACACAGCACACAACACATAGGAAGCAATCTGCAAGTGGTTCATGAAGTATGACACACAGGACTTGAGTTTAGGAAAATCATTTCATCTTACCTCCCCCGCATAGTGCTTGATTCCAAACTGGTTTTCGGTCACTCGTGGCTTCACGTAGTGGGGGTTATTCTGGGACACAAAGAAAACATCTGTGTTAAATTGTAGCCGGCGGGGACACTGACATGAGGCTTACTGCAGAGGAAACTGCAGAGTGTAGCCAACCATCCCCGGGGGGATCCATGTCCAACTTGTCCAATGTCAGATGACTGACTGCATGCGATTCATTGAAGTTAAAGTAAACCTTCAGCTTCTATAAGAAGCAATTAAAAAAATCCCCTCCAGGGAAACTATATGCATTGCAACAACTTTAAGGGCCCGATCATACTTATGCACTACAGGGTGGTAATCCAAGGTAGAAGGAGATCTCTGTACATTGAGAACAATATCCATAAATCTTGCAGCACTCCTTACTGGATATCCCCAAAGAAATATAATGGGTGCTCGTAATGACTGCGGATGGCGCCGCTCACACTGAAACTACAATGTCACCAGCACGAGAGCTTCCAAATTAGTGCAAATCCATTTTATTGATAGAGGTCTCTCAAATGTCAAGCGTTTTCGGGGCCCCTTCATCCGGCTCAGAGATGACAGCATGATGGCATCTCTGAGCTTGATGAAGGGGACCCTTCACGTCAAGTCAAGTGCTTGACATTTGAGAGACATCAATAAAATGGATTTGCACTTATTTGGAAGCTCTCGTGCTGGTGACATCCTTATTATAGTCTCTGTACAATGAGGGGACATCCCCTCCTAGGTAGTCGTCATCAAAACAGGTTCCCCCATTACAAGAGTTGGCTTTCCCATCAGCTTCTGTACCGAGACATTGGTCACCTAGACTAATTATGAGAGTCTCCTCAGCATGGACACCGGCAGCGATATAAACCTGACAGGGCTCCTAATCATTCCACTTTCAATTTAAAAACTTTAAGAACAAACGTTTTGTCTTCATATACACATTTAATGCAGCATTAGCAGCGCTAACGTAAAAATGGGCCAAACAAATTTTACAGTAAATTCTTAGCCATCTGTTCTGGAGACACAGGCAGATCATGCCAGTGACTTGCTGATGAGTGTGGAAGGATTGACCCATTATGATCACCCCCAGTGTTATAACAGGGAATATAGCATTATACCGGCATACCCTTAGGCATGCAGCACCTTTGTGAATATCATCTTACCCAAATATGAAATTCTTAGGGCAGGACGGTGCTGGGGATTTGACTTTACAAACACTTTTATTTAAGGTAACAAATACATTTCATTAAAATTTAAGAAAACTGGAAAATGCTGGTCATGTTTGTATCCACTAGACAGTTGTAAACATACATAAGAGAAATGATGGACATACAAGGTATCAATAACAGAAATGTATCAATAACAGAAACTCACGTTGTGTTGGTTATTGAGTTTCTCAAGCAAAGTGAAATCTGTGCCTTTAGGGAAACGACTCTCTTCATTGATCAGAGCCAACAAACCGAGTTTCTACAAACAAAAGAAAGGATAATAATAATATTACATTAAAAAATCCCAGGCAATAAGATAAACCTGAACTGCTTAGGAGTTAAAAACCCAAACCTTCTGCACAGCAGTAAAATATTTCACAATTTTCCAAATACATATTTTCATACATCAAATTTAATAAATAATTTACATACAGATCTTCATGGATAGGCACTTTATAAACATCTATATAATAGAAAATATATAAAGTATTGATAGATTTGGTATTTCACCTTAAAAGCAACCCTGTCCTTTTCCAATGGACAAAAACTACTGCCAAATATGAACTATCCAGCTTATAAAGGTGCATCGGTATAATTGGTATAACCCCATTGGGTTTCCTAATCATGCCTCTCTGGAAGGATAGGGGTCTGTATTTGAGGGACTATGAAATTTTCTTGATGTGGAGACATGCAGGGTTATTCACAGAAGGGTGAAGAGTTTGGAGAAGTGAACAATCTAGGCCAAAATAGCTGATTAATAAAAATTCTCAAATTCAGCTTACTTTCCAGTTCAGCTATTTTTTCCTAGATTGTTCCCTTCTTCTGCCTACTCCAAACGCTTCACCCTTTTGTGAATAACCCTGATAGTATCTACTCTGGATGACCTCATTTACATTTTGGATACACCCACTCTTGGGGAGGATATGTCTCTCCAAATCTGCATAAAAGCAACACCACTGCATAGTCTTCCTAGGTTGTTCATGGAAGACTCACTAAGGGCCCATTCAGATCTATGCAGGCTATGAGGTTCACTAAGGCGTGTTATGCCATCCATCAAGGTGCTTTGTTTTAAAGCAACCTATTTGTTTAAATGTGGTAACGCAGATGTTACAACACATAGATGTGAATGAGCCCTGAAGGAAAGCAATGATTTCGGTTACACCGGTTACTGATTAAAATTGTCATTCCGAGCTTTTGATAATCTCCACTAAAGTAAACCTGTTTCATGTGAAATACTGGGACTGCCATTTATGTTCTCTTTTCTGAAAATGGTAGTTGCCTGGCTGTTATGCTGTAACTGTAGCTTCAATATGTTCTAAACACTGACCCAGGTATGCAGTTCTAGACAGTTGAGGTAAAAAAAAAAAGTCCTTATCCGGATCCTTTTTCCCGGTCTTAATGTGAACCTTCAGGTTTCCTTTGAAGGGCTCACCTTTTCGACTAGATCCAAACATTCCGCATTGTCCATCCAGTTTATGGCTTCCCAGTTGATGCCTTCCCTATCAGAGAGGAAGAGAAAATTAAATGATTTTACATACAATGTCAGTCCCAATACTATATCACATGTGGTTTAAGATCGAGACAGTAATACATTTTCCCAAAATCCTCTGCTCTGACACCATTGTTCCTACCTGTTATATTCCAGCTGCTCCAATGAAAATATGTGTTTGTTGAAATATTCCTGAAGCTTCTCATTGGCGTAATTAATGTTGAACTGCTCAAAACGATTCACCTTGAAGGAAAAAAAAAAAGAACAGGCTTTTTTAAAAACGTATAAAGGCGCGTAAAACCCTAACAATGAACGCCTGGTATTTGGTCCCTTTTGGTCTGTTAAACTGTTGAGAGTTTTGTTATATTTGTTTCTTAAGTGCAAAGAAATACCCATTGATCCTGCCAGAAATCTTGTCAGCTGATAACTTCCTGAGCTGAACTCTATTTACATTGTTCCCAGTTATCTTTCAGGACTACAGACCCCACCGCTTCATGCTATGGAGAAGAGGAAACGGCGAGGGCGTTGTTGCAGTCTTGTCCTATGGTTACAACACTGCTTCTCTATAGATACGGTATGGTTATCGTGGTCACCCTGGGGCATGTAGTATGTTACTGGCAGAATCACCAATTAAAAATAGATATTTTAATTCTATAGATCTATACATATATTTTAGGGCTGTGGAAATTAAAGATTAATTTCTCGATTAAGTGTTAAACTTTTTGATCGATTCAAATTATTTTGATTGCTAATGAAAACACTCACCTCTCCACCGGCTTCCGGGAGTCCCGTCGGTGATCCGGTGATGTCACGGACATTGACGTCACCGGACTCCTTCCACCCTTCCCCAAATGGCTCTGTCGGCTAACGAAGGGAAGGGGGGGAGGAGTCCGGTGTCGATGCCCGTGACGTCACCGGACTCCTCCCCCCTTCGTTAGCCAACCGAGCCACTTGGGCCGGTGAGTTTGCCCAAGAAACTTTCTGCATGAGCGCCAGCCAAGGCATTGGCCTATACACATACAGCACAGCAATATAGTAATAAAATAAACTAGGATCACACTAATCCAGCACGTTATTATTCTGAGTTGCCCCACTCAAGCGGCGGCCATATTGATATACACACACACACACACACACACACACACACACACACAGGGTGCCGTTAGGACAGGGGATTCCCAGAGTATCGTGGATTTACAAAACAGAAGACACAGTCACAGATGCTTCCTTTCAGACACCCTGTCCCTTACTGAAATCTGATAACCAACTGAATAGGATAGAGGAGGAAGAGTCAGTATTTTAGCATAACGCATATCATTTCAGCAGGCACTCCATCAATGAGAAGTTGTGTCACACCTGAAAATTCTCGAAACCAAAAATGTCCAAAATTCCGACAGACTTGAAGTTCTCCTTCCCGCGGACACGAGCATTTATCTTTCCGAGCAGCCAGGAAAAGCACTGAGCGTAGAGCGCCATGGCCAGAGAGTCACGGGAGTCTGTAGCCTGAATCAGATCAAAAACATGGGAGAGAGTTGGGAAAGAAGAAACCTTGACAATTATAGGGAGTTGTAATGAGTAAAGAGATCTCTGGATTGTAAGCGGTCACATCACACACATTATGAAGCGTAGCACATGTCAGTACAGATCAGGGGTAAGCAACCTCAGAAATTATTTATACCAACATGGCTCTGGCAGTCATGCCTGTGAGGGTCTAGCAATGCCTCATGGGACTTAATCCCACAACAGCTGGATGGCCAAGGTTGCCTATCCCTAGTATTGAAGGACATCCACGCTCAAGCAGTTAGGTCAGTAGATTTTTAACTGCAGAATCCTTTTGTACAGCAGCCAATTCTTCCTTCCATTATTGTTCCTCATGTTTCATAGCTGCTTAGCATTTAAAGATTAATTTAGAATTCTGTGAATTTTAAAGTAGATCTACAGCCAAAACTATTTGTCATTTTGGATAGTGGGGGAGAGTTAAAACCGCTATCAGCTTTGTTTTTTTTTTGCCATCTATGTCTTGTTAAGGAGGTTTTCCCTCACTTCCTGTCCTGTAGACTCAACGGGAAGTGAGGAGATATCTTTCCAATGTAAGGCAAATTCCTTCTTAAAGAGTTTTCATGTGAACAAGTGTCCTCGCTGGAAGACTTCTCCTCCATTCCTGTTCTGGTGGTTACTCAAAATTATGTTTTTAGTTCCTGGTCATTCGCGTGATCAGGAAATTGGAGAGTGTGAATCTCTCTAACGGGGGCACACAAAGCAATAAAAACCTGGATTGGGGTTATCGCCCCGTCACCCCTCTATCCAAATCTAAAAAAAAGGGCTTTGCCTTTAGTTACACTTTGAACACTCCAACTGAATGATGAAAGACCTCACCTGCTCCACTGTGAGAGGAGACAGGATCTCTTCACCCCGGAGGATCATGGATCTCTGTGTCAGCACCTCGGACAGCTGAAAGGAGTCCAAACCCAACAGATCGGCCACGTCGCTCAAGACTGTAAAAAGATACAAAAACAAAAAAAAGAAACAAAATGAAACAATCATTGCTCATAAAATGCTTGCCTTAACACACACTCTTAGGGTTTATGTGTTGATAAAGAATAGCAAGGAGCTGAAAAAACGGCCAATCGCACTTTCCAACAAAGCCAGCATCTTCTGCTCTTCCAGAGATTAAATGGTTACTCCATGTATTGGGTGCATTCTTCCGCTTAGCTTTGGTATGGTGAACACCACATTGCGCACCCAGAAGTTAGGCATCAATGCATGTCAATCAACAGCAGCCAAGGGCATTCCCCACTCTGCCTCCATCACGGGGTGGGATGCAGATGACATCATCAACCTTATATGGCCACATGGCCATATTCGGTCAATATCATTGGGCAAATATGTCCATGTGGCCAATGATGTTGAAAACATCCTGTTCCTTTATTTTACATATGGCTGCAGGGTGAGGGATACCCTGGCCGCAGCTAATTAGGCATGTACTGACGCCTAACTTCCATTTTCACTTGAGTTTGCACTAAACCTGAGCTTATCCCTATTCATGAGGAGGAGGAGGAGGAGAGAACAAGTAGGCATGGAAAGGACCCATTTATATTTCTGTTGCTAAAAATCAGCTGATATGTGGACTAGTATTTGGGAAATTACTAAATCCTGCTCGCAGAATGTCTAGGGCCTAGAAACTAATTATAAAGTACTTTATAGATGGTACCTAATGCTTCTTTTTGTTGTGTGGTTGCCACGTATCTCAATTATTAGCCTCGTATTTTCCACAAATAGCCTATTCAAGGCAACAATAGGGGCAACCAAAGTTTTAAGGATTGCGTTAACTTTTTACTAGAATTGGCATTATAACCCTTTGGGATTTGTGAGCCTGCAGTACGAATGTTATTATATTTTGAAAATTCTTGGCCTGCGTACCACCTGTGTTCCATGTTTGGAACTATGACGTTCGACTGTCTTTCGAATGAAAATTCAATACAAAAAAAAAAAATCAGTCTTTACTATGCATTTTACAATGCGCTTTGATGCTTTTTTTTGTGCAACATGCACATTTTCTGTGTCTTTAGCGCTGCGGTTTTGGGCTATTTCTTGCATTTGGAAAGCAGCTGTGCTGGTCACATGAATATAATCCATATGTATAGATGCAGCTGGCAGCGCTTCATGTCATTGATCTGAACTTGTTTTGTAATGATTATTTTTGTGACTCATCACATGGCAGCCTTTCCAGCCAGAGCATCCCGAGTTGCTGAGAACTCTTTGCAACCAGCGACGCTCTGCCGGGCATCACACCCAGCTCACTGACGTCACTGGTTGCCAGGAACTGAGCGGGACGCTCTGGCTGGTGTCCTGCCACCCATTAATGTCAATGAGCTGGGTGGACCGCCGTGCACCACAAGCCACCTGCCCCACCGGAATGTGCACCAGCAGCCTCCACACCTGTGGACTGTGCATCACAAGCAACCCCAGCCTCAGGCGGCAAGACGTCTAGGGACGCAACTGACCATTAGAAATTCAGTTAAATTATTCATGGGAGTATTCAATCTTGTCATCATCACTCATCTAATTTCATTGGAAAGCCCTTTAAAACATTTTTTAGACCCAGACCTGAAAATTAAAAGGGAATCCCAGATGTATTTAAACAGGATTCCTTTGTGCCTAACGCATGCGCATTACAAAATGCATGACTTTTCCTGAACAAGTCACATTCGCGGTTTGAATTTTGCTCGCTCACATTTTTTAAAAAAATTCCGACTTGCTCCTTCAATTTTCTTCATCACTATGGTACCGCAATGCTGTGCATTCCATTGCAGTGCGACTTGGGTCATTACAGTGGGGGGGGGGGGGGAGTAGCCCCACTGTAAGGGTTAATGCTTTTTCTGCCAGGAGTTCTTGTTTAACATGCCTACCCAATGTTAAACAAAGGCTGAGGGGCCCAGAGCTTTCTTCCTCTGTTCTAGAAGCAGCTTTTTTCCATACAAGTTACTCATCACTAGTGAAAGCAGGTTCCATATATATAACCTGTAATTTCTGGTTACATTTTATCTGCGGAGGCAATGCAAGAACGATCGAGCCATCTGTATTTACATCTGGGAACTGTACTCCTGAAATAATGAAATCCTGGGCTCTGATAGCACACAGGAAATTGAGAATGCTCAACAGCTAGGCCCCCCGCTCATTATAAACCTATCCTGTATATCCTAGAGAGATTTCAGTGATAACAGCAATCACTTATTGGCAGTGGCGGAGCACGCAGCCCATTGTAATTGGGAAGCTGCAATACTTAAAAGGCAACAGTAGGGAGCGGCCCTCACTCACAAAACGCAGAACTCGCCAGCCTCAAATAGGGCGATCAACAGGCTCAAAATAGAAAATGATTTCATATGGGAGTTGAAAACAAATTAAGGCTCCATTTACATTTAGCGTTTGCGTTTTCCCACTTGGTTTTCCGTGCGGAAGAGCGCACGGCACACAAACTCTAAAATCTTTCACCTGCATGGATTCCGCTCCTTTGTGGCTATTACCGTAGACGCGAACGTGCGGAATCCGTTAAAAAAAAAAAACCCCAAAAAAACCCGTGCTTGGACAATTTTGCGGCCTGCATGGTACAAAACCGTTGCCACAAAATTCTGAACAATGCACATTAAAGTGCATTTTTTTTATGTTCAGGCCGAATACTGCTCATGGTATGGCATGATAGATAAGTATCTGTTTGTATGTCTCAGCATGGAGGACACCATTGATCCTGACCAAACCACCAACTTCATTTGCAGGAATGCAGCACTAGACTTGCAAGGAGCGGATCACCTGTGTGCTGAAAACCAGCCTGTGTGGCCACTGAAAATAGTCTCAACTGTGATATTTACATTTGAATGGGTGACACTATTTACATATGCATAAGCCACAACTCATTCTCCCAACTAGCCTTCTCCCAAAAAAAATGTCCGCTCGTCGCTAGAGTGTTCGGGTTTCACTTGAAGAAAAGGTGGCAACCCTAGTGGGAAAGGTATTGTAGAAAAAGACAACCTGAAGTCGGTGAGACGTTGGAAATGTTATATTGCTGAAGGGAAAAGCTGAACTTTGTGTTTAACCTGTTGCAGAAACCCCTGGGGGGGGGAAAAAAACTTATGTGAATGTTTAAATAAAAGTGGGCAGGAAGCCCTAAAAATAAAAATTGTTTACGAGTGGAAGTGTACTGAATGCGCTACCATTTGAAGCTAATCCTCACATGTAAGAAAATGACACGAAATATGATTTTTTTATGTCATATTCTTTTTCTCGAAGCATAGGGTGGAAAAGTTCAATAATAGATGATTGTTTCCGTTGTTGCATAAAGTTCAGAATGGGTTTAATTTAAAGTTACAAAATATTACAGGATATGGTATATCTTACAGAATGAGTCTATAAGATGCTTGATGATGACAAAATATAGTATATCTTACAGCAGAAATCTATAAGATGCTTAAGAAACGTGTCTTTAGTTAGTAAGTAAAAAATAGTCCTAACAGGTGTCTGTCTATTCAATGTGAGTATGGGTGTGTCTGTTGTGATGCTGTGCGTGTGTGTGTGTGTGTCTGTACTGTGAATGAGTGTGTGAGTGTGTGTGTGTCTTGAAGGATCATCCCTCATCCTTTTATCCATGCTTTTACTTTAAAATAACCTATGTGATATTTACCTTAAAAGTCTTTCTGATTAGCATAAGGGAGTGCCATACTCTTTAGTAGCTGAGTCATGTGTTCTCCTTCTATCCCATTTTGGGCATAATAGTCTTCTTTGAGCATTCCCAACAACTGTTTCAACTATACTTAGGTCTGCCTGTCAGGCTTGCTGATTGATTACCAATTGTAACTCAAAATCAGCAGTACAGTAAAAAACTGAATCTCCAAACTTGGATAGATTAAAATATAGAAAATCAATCATCATTTAAGGTTCACACATACATATTTCAATATATCTGGTTTTAACATCACAATATATTATAATATACGGTATATATCTTCTGGAGAGGTGGTAAAAGGAAATTGATAATTAAAAAACGAGGGGTTAAATGGATTTTTGGCATGAATACACTACAACCGAAAGGTTAAATGTTGATTCAAGCGTTCATTTATTTCTCTGGGGTTTTGTGAGGTGTTGACATTGTCTGTCGATCCGACAGGTGAAAGCCATATATTGGTAATATCCTGCTGTATTCCTTCAGGATAGATAAAAGAATGAATTCCGGGTACATAGGAGATAATACTATTAGTGAAGTCAATTTCAGAATTTAAAAATGTAGCATCTTTGTTTAAATAATGATGTATGTCGTGATATATGTTGTAATATATGTCAATCTATACTGTTTATTTGTAACTGCTTACACAGGATATGGCAGAACTGTGAAGTCTGTTCATTCTAATTATAGGGGAGCGAGTAGCAAAGTTTCACACCTCTGAGCATTGCAAGGATGATGCCTTAAAAAGAAAAACATGCTTCCTACTCCTTTGCTGCAGTTTCCATGCAGAGGGATAGTAACACGTTTTAAATGTCCAACACACCCAGAACGCACTGTATCTCTCATGAAAATCATCTCGGCTCCAGCCTGGACTCGGGTCCATTACTTGCTTTACTGGATGAGAATTACATTTGCTAGAATAATAGTGAACTCCCGAAGAGGGGACCCGTGCACAGAGAGCGCAGGCTCCATCCCGCCTGGGTGATCCAATGAGGATCCTGATTTGAACATTGCAGAGGATTAGGCAAAAGGTTCTCGCTCCTTGTTATGGTTTTGGAATGAGGAGGAAGTAGTCATTTCCTCGCTTGGTGATATCCTAATAAGGATGTATAACGCTTCCTTATTGAGGCGGTGAAGTCACACACGGGGATATCCTGACCTGCTCCTTTGATTTGCTTGGAATTAACTAGTAAAATGATTCTTTGGGGCAATATGCCAGTTGAGCAAATCAAGCTGTCCAGAACTTCCCATTAGCTGGATTCTAATCAACCAGAGACAAGA